CATTGACATAATTTCTCCTTTGGTGGTTATATACATACGTCACTGTGGATATATGTATATGTGCATGTGTGTGTGTTTGTTGTTAGATGCTATTGCATGCATGCCATGTTGCAACATACAGTGGCAATGGACAACTGAACTTTTGCTGTTGCCTGAATGTTGCTGCTACTCGTTTGCTGCTGTTGTTGTTCATGTTGTTGAGGCCGCATTATGAGTCTAAAAAGTGAGTCAAGACCTTCACGTTTTTGCCATGATGATGTTCTTGATGTTGTTGTCGTTGTTGTTTTTCTTGTAAAGTGTTGTTCTTCGACTGATACTGCTTGCCACTTGCAACACGTTCTTATTCTAATATAAATCTCCGATTACAATTGCTACTGCTTGCCATTGCCTAGCCTCCTTCTTGGTGTATGTGACCAGAGGAGGAAGGGAGAAGCAGGAGGTAAGGATAAAACTACCACCTCATAGCACCATGACTGTCAGTTGTTATTGCTTCTGTGCTGCAGTAGAAACGAAAAAAAAATAAAAACGTCATGATTTTCACTTGAAATCCCATTAAAACAAAGTTCTGCTTTTGACAAAGTCAAACGGTGGGGTAACCAACCAACCAACCGCCAAGTGGCCTAACACCAATGGACTTCACTTCAGTACGCCACAATCTGACACTCCATTAGGATTTCCAAAACCCAGTGAACATGTTCGGTGGAATTTGAAAGAAAAATCAATTTTTTTAAAATAAGGATTTTTTAAATATTTTTTCATGGACCAATACAAGGCGTGGATTTTTTAAAGATAATTTTTTCAAACACTTACTTACTTAGCTGGCTTGTGACAGAACTTTCGTTCCATAAGCCGAGCTTAGAAAAGATTTCCAGGTGCGTCGGTCTTTTCCGCATTTTTTCCAAATTGCAAGACCATATTCGGCAATGTTGTCTTCGACATGATCTTTCCATCGTATTCGTGGCTTCCCCATCTGCGTGAACCATTAGCTGGTTCGCTTTTATATGCTTTCTGGGCTGGGGCATCATCATCCATTCTCACAACCTGACCTAGCCAACGTAGTCGCAGCAGCTCAATACTTCTAACAATGTCGATACCCGAGAATAGCTGGTACGACTCATGATTCATTCACCGGCGATATTCACCGTCAACGCAGATCGGCCCATAGATCTTTCGGAGAATTTTTCTCTCAAACACGCCATGAGCTGCCTCATCTGCTTGCGCAAGTACTCATGCTTCGGGTCCAAATGACAGCACGGGATGTATCAGCGTCTTGTAAAGTGTGAGTTTAGTCTGGCCTTGTTTCTAAACTGCTTACTTGGACCATATTAGCATTTGTTGGCCATCACTATCCTTCCCCGAATTTCAAAGCTTATGTTATTCGTTTTATTTATGGCGGTGCCAAGGTATATAAAATCTTTAACTACCTCGAAGCTGTAATTCTCAAGTTCCACAGTTGGTCCGACTCTACTGGACGTCTTGCGCGTTGATACCATCAGATTGGTCTTCTCGCCATTTACTGCCAGACCCACTTTGGCAGACACCTTTTCCAGCGGGATGTTAAAAAGATCACACTACAAACGGTCACCTTGTCTGGTCCTCGTTCGGTATTGAATGGCTCCGAGAGGTCCTTTCCAACTTTAACTACTACACTTGTGTCACTTATAGTTATCCTGCATAGCCGTATTAATTTTGCAGGAATGTCGAACGTAGGCATGGCTTTAAACACTTCTGAACGTATAGGGCTGTCGAATGCTGCTTTATAGTCGACGAATAGATGAAATGTGTCGATGTGTTTTTCGTGGGTTTTTTCCAGGATTTGGCGCAGAGTGAAAATCTGGTCAATGGTGGATTTGCCAGGTTTGAAGCCACATTGGTATGGTCCAATAATGTCATTGACCATTGGCTTCAGTAGTTCACACAGTACGCTGGATAGCAATTTATATGCGATGGGAAGGAGACTTATTCCTCTATAGTTGGCATATATCGTCTTGTCTCCTTTTTTGTGCACGGGACACAGAATGCTGAGGTTCCAATCATTGGGCATGCATTCTTCTAGTCAAATTGTACAAATCAGCTGGTGCATGCTTCTTACCAGTATCTGACCACCAATCTTGAATAATTCAGCTTGTAACCTATCGGCACCTGCTGCTTTGTTATTCTTCAGCCGATTGATTGCTATTCTGACTTCATCTTGGCTAGATGGTATATACTCTACACCGTCACCTATTATTGATTCTGGGGTATCCACTTCGCTGCTACTATTTGATACCAGAAGCTTTTCAAAATGCTTCTTCCAGATCCTCAGCACGCTGTCTGTATCTGTCACCAGGTTTACTTCTTCCTCTCTATAGGAGGGTGTGTCTGCACCAAAACCTTCGGTCGGAGCATGGGGGCAAATAAGACTGATGTCGAAGAACTTCGCTTTTATGCGGATTATAACAATTCGCTCATCTACTGGAGTGAATCTTGAGACGAGGTCTTTTATTCTCCTGTTAACCATAAATCCGCAGCCAAATTCATGTCTCGTTTCATGGCAGCTATAATACAGGGCGTAATCGTCTGATTTACTTACGCCAGTCCCCTTTCCATCGCATTTCCTGTAAGGCAATAATATCGGCTTTGCACTTCTTGAGTACATCCGCCAAAGCGAACACTGCGCCTGTTCTGTACAACGTGCGCACATTCCAGGTGCAGATTCGCAGATCGTGGTCCTTTGTACGTTTGCGGGGATCGTCAATATTAGGGGGGTTGGGTTTTCTTTTTCTTTGCTTTTTCATAGTCGGTTGGGTTTTCCGAGAGTGGGCAACTAACCCATTTTTTATAGTTCTTATGTGTGAACTCGCGGCACATATTAGCTCACTATTTCATCGGGTGATGAAAATAGCTCCCCAGGTGGCACCACGGGGAGGTCAGAGTCCACAATTGAGATGAAAGAGGGGCCAATATAAGCCGCTGCTTGGTATATATCATCCCCTACGCCACCCAAAGCTTCCACACAAGGCGTGGATTTTTTAAAGAATATTTTTTCAAGCATCCACACAAGACGTGGATTAAAAAAACATAGTCCCATTTGAAGTATTTAAAAAGCCTTAGACGTATTTTCAAAAAAAATTGACTGAAGATTACTTTAATATTCTTACCTTAGATGTGTTCCACTTAATTTATCCTCTTCGGTTATGTGATGGTGTCTCCCATCTGCTTCGTATTTCGTTGTGGATCTAAAAAGAAAACAGATCAATAATTCGATTAGTTAAGTTATCCTGAACTATGAAATTATTTTTTAGGTATACAGAAAAAAAATTAGTCAAAATGTTTGCTGGGTTGTATGTCTGCCCATCAAGGATTTAGAACAACGAAGCAAAAACGAGAAAAAAACACTACTTCAACTAATCATATAAATCATTTGTCGACTGCCACTGAAGTTGCTGCTGCCTCTGTTGTCGACTGGTCACAATTTAAGTTATTTCCTACCCAGGAGTAGTGGTTGGTGCCCAGCAGCTAAAAGTCATCAACAATGTGTCGAAGGAGCAGGGGGTAACAATAGCAGCAAACAATTATGACTTTCCTTAAAACATAGTAGCCTTCGCAGTCGGGCCGACAACATTAAGAATTTCTTTGAAATGAAAGTAATCCGTAAATTGTCTATTTAATTCCACCTGCTTTGCATTGAGGAAGTTAAGTTGTAAATTGTTCGACAATGATGAGGTAGCAGTAAGGACTTGGAAAAAATATTCTTTAACAAAATCCAAATGTAGGTCTTGAAAAAATATCTTTTAAAAAATCCACGCCTTATGTAGGTCTTGAAAAATATCTTTTAAAAAATCCACGCCTTATGTAGGTCTTGAAAAAATATCTTTTAAAAAATCCACGCCTTATGTAGGTCTTGAAAAATATCTTTAAAAAATCCACGCCTTATGTAGGTCTTGAAAAATATTCTTTAAAAAATCCACGCCTTATGTAGGTCTTGAAAAATATTCTTTAAAAAATCCACGCCTTATGTAGGTCTTGAAAAATATTCTTTAAAAAATCCACGCCTTATGTAGGTCTTGAAAAATATCTTTTGAAAAAATCCACGCCTTATGTAGATCCTGAAAAATATCTTTTAAAAAATCCAGGCCTTATGTAGGTCTTGAAAAATATATTTAAAAAAATCCACGCCTTATGTAGGTCTTGAAAAATATATTTAAAAAAATCCACGCCTTATGTAGGTCTTGAAAAATATCTTTTAAAAAATCCACGCCTTATGTAGGTCTTGAAAAATATCTTTTAAAAAATCCACGCCTTATGTAGGTCTTGAAAAATATCTTTTAAAAAATCCACGCCTTATGTAGGTCTTGAAAAAATATCTTTTAAAAAATCCACGCCTTATGTAGGTCTTGAAAAAATATCTTTTAAAAAATCCACGCCTTATGTAGGTCTTGAAAAAATATCTTTTAAAAAATCCACGCCTTATGTAGGTCTTGAAAAAATATCTTTTAAAAAATCCACGCCTTATGTAGGTCTTGAAAAAATATCTTTTAAAAAATCCACGCCTTATGTAGGTCTTGAAAAATATCTTTTAAAAAATCCACGCCTTATGTAGGTCTTGAAAAATATCTTTTGAAAAAAATCCACGCCTTATGTAGGTCTTGAAAAAATATCTTTTAAAAAATCCACGCCTTATGTAGGTCTTGAAAAAATATCTTTTAAAAAATCCACGCCTTATGTAGGTCTTGAAAAAATATCTTTTAAAAAATCCACGCTATATGTAGGTCTTGAAAAAATATCTTTTGAAAAAATCCACGCCTTATGTAGGTCTTGAAAAAATATCTTTTAAAAAATCCACGCCTTATGTAGGTCTTGAAAAAATATCTTTTAAAAAATCCACGCCTTATGTAGGTCTTGAAAAATATCTTTTGAAAAAATCCACGCCTTATGTAGGTCTTGAAAAAATATCTTTTAAAAAATCCACGGTATTGATCCCTTTTATCTAATTTGCATTTCTCTGTTTGCCTTTCCAGAAATCCGCAGTGTTTCCGGCGAACCAAATTACAAATCTGTCAACCTGACATGGGAGGTGGAATTTGTACCCTCACCCAATGACATTGTAACGAATAGCAGTGATGAAATCGAACCTCCAGTAGCATTTCAATTATTTTTCTGTGAACTGCAATCGTTTGGACCGCATCGATGCCGATCCAAGGTGGTAAATGCCACAAAATCCGTATATGATAACAATGAAGACAATAATTTGGAGGTGGTTGATAAAATGTAGGGTCGAAACACACATTCTTTTCCCCGTTTATTTTTTTATTAAAAAAATGTTCCTAATTTTTTTAGACGCCAAGTCCGCCAATATGTGGCCCAGGTGGATAATTTACGTATGGCCACCAAATATAGTTTTCACATTCGTTCCATACCGAAAAATAAACAGCTGAAGAAGGTTACTGGCCGTTCTGAGATATTCGATAATGAAATAGAGGGTAGTGATTTTCTGAGTTCATCGAATTTGGGTGGACCCACCATTGTTATACCTACGAAAGGATGTAAGTCTTGGTCCCCAAATAAGGAATACGGGGAAGGAGGTAATAATTAAAAAAAAATATTTTTTATTTCATTTCCTTAGTCTCGGCCCAGGCCACACGATGCCTGCCCAATGCCTCAGAAATCGAAGTGGAGACGGGTCCAAATTTTGGTGGCAAAATTGTGGTGGATGGTGGCAACTGTGGTGTGAAGGGGAATCCCAATGACTCCAAGGATAAATATGTTATGCGCATCGATCACAAGGCTTGCGGTAGTATGGTCAAGCCCGAAACCAATACCGTGGAAACTTTTATAACGGTACAAGAAAATTTGGGTATATTCACACACAGTACGAGGAGGTAATTTAGAGGAGGGGTGGGAGATTTTTGGGTTCCCAATTGCTAACCGAAAACAAAATTTGTTTTTTTTCTTTTGTTCTCCCTCATCAGATTTGTGGTGGTATGCAGCTATCAATCGGGTATGCAAACAGTACGCGCTAGCTTCTCTGTCCCCGGCCGGGGTGGAGCGGTGGCTGCTACCCATGATTCTCTCGAGGAGGAAGAACGTATGGGTCGTGGCCTTAAACCTTTTCGATTTGTCGACAAATCGGAATTAATTCTTAAAGAAAATAATGAAGAAGAATCTGCTACACCATTGTCAGAGGAAATTGAGGCCGTGGTAGAAGAAATGGACAATCCCACTGTGGCCAGTAGTTTGAATCAAACTGAAATTACTCAGGCAGCGGCATCAGCAGGAGAAGCTGCGGACACCACTTCAAATGAAGAGGTCATGGCTGCAAATGACGATGAAGATGCCACAAATGCTGTGGCGATATTGGAAAATATTATACCCGGTGTTAATGAAGATCACATAAAAGCCAATGCGCTACAACAACAACAGCAGCCGGGAGAAGAAAATGTAGAGGTATCAAGTGTGGATGAAGTCGCAGATAATGTTGTGAGTAGTGGTGACCAAGAGACCAAGCCAGCTGAAGACAGTGCAGATGATGGCAATGAAAGCAATGTGAAAAATGAACGCTTTTCCGCAAAATTTGCTAAATTAATATTGGAGCGCAATGACCGTGACCAGGAGGTGGCAGCCCAGGCTAGGAGTTATGATGGCGAGTCGGCGAAGCTCAGTGATACACCCACTGGAAGAGGTGAGTGCATTTTTTTAATTTAATTAAAAAATAAATACGTAAATGGGGTATGCAGCATAGAATATTTTTTGAAAAATTGTCCGAACATAGGATTCTTTCGAAACTTATCGGAATTCAGATTTTTAATTTTGCAAGCTTCACCTTGTGGTGTAGGTTATACCACAAGGTGAAGCTAGCAATATTAAAGATAGAACTTTCAAATTTGCCACATACATTGTCACTACTTCTAGAATGTGTTGTATTGGAAATGGAAATCATCGGTCCACATATTGGTAGGGGTCCCCCATTACAGTACCCTTAAAAATTCGGTATTTTGAGAAGTTTGTGTAAATTGTCCAATCAAATGAGATTAATTTTGGGTTATTATTACTTAGCAAATCTTTTTATTAAAAATGAGTACCATTGGCACAGGTTTCAGGGTATCCTCCATACAAGGGTACCTTCCGATTTTGGGGAGTTTTGCAACCAAATTGGCTGATATTTTGTATTTTGGGTACACATTGGATAGCAAACCTTCTCACCAAAATCTTTCAATATCGGTCCAGTTTTTAGGGTAGGGCACCTTAAAACGGTATCCACGATTTTCGGTATTTTAGGGTGCTTGGACACATTTTTCAACCAAATTGGCTGTAATTTGGTATTTTTGATTCTCATAAGGTAGCAAATCATACTACCAAAAATGATCAATATTGGTCCACTTTTCGGGGTAGTCTCCATATAAGGTAACCATTAAAATGTTCGTATTTTAGGGAGCTTGAACACATTTTACAACCAAATTGGCTGAAGTTTGACATTTTGGATTCTCATTGGGTAGCAAATCTTCCTACCAAAAATTATGAATATTGTACCACTTTTTAGGGTAGCCTCTATATAAAGGCACCTCTCGAAGTTTGGAATTTTTTGTAAGTTTTTCAGCCAATTTGGCTGTAACTTAGTATTTTTCGTTCTCGTTGGGTATCGAATCTTTCTACCAAAAATTATAAATATTGGTCCATTTTATAGGGTAGTCCCCATATAAGGGTACGTCCCAGATTTCTGTAATTTAGGGAGCTTGAGCACATTTTTTTTAGGGAACAGTTTCCAACCGAATTCGCTGTAATTAGGTAGTTTGGGTTCTCAATGTGTAGAAAACCAGCTCACCAAAAATTATCAATATCGGTCCACTTTGTATGGTAGCTTCCATGTAAGGGTAATTCTCGAAGTTCGGAATTTTTGGGAGTTTTTCAACCGATTTGGCTCTAATGTAATATTTTGAGTTCTCATTGGATAGCAAATCTTCCAACCAAAAATGAGAAATCTTTGTCCACTTTTTAGGGTAGCCCCCATATAAGGGTACCTCCCAAATTTCCATGTTTTAGGGAGCTTGGGCACATTTTTTAACCAAATTGCCTGTAATTTCGTATTTTGGGTTCGCTGTGGGTGTCAAATACTCCTATCAAAAATCATTGACATTGGCCCAAATTTTGGCATAGACTTTATATAACGCTACCTTCCGAATTTCGGTATTCTAGGGATTTTGGGCGTATTTTCCAAAGGAAGTGTATCTTATTTGATATTTTCTATTCTCCTTGGGTCGGAAATATACCATTTGAGTAAAAAAAAATCCCCATATAACGATATCAAAAATTTTTGGTATTTTTCGGATTTCGGTATGCTCAAGGTCCTGGACCAATTTTCCAACCTGAAAGTCTGTAGTTTTATGTTTGGTTTTTTTTCTCTGGCAGTACTTCAGCATGACATGGCACGCATATAAAAGTCCCAAGGAATTTTTAACTGTACACCAAAATCAGCAATTTTGGTCCACTTTTTAGGTTCGTCCTAAATTTTTCGATATTTTAGGGAGCTTGGGTGCATTTTTCACACTAATTGCGTGTAATTTGGTATTTTGGGTTCTTATTGGGTGTCAAATGCTTCCACCAAAAATCTTTGATATTGGCCCAAATTTTGGCATAGACGCCATATAACGCTACCTTCCGAATTCCAATATTTTACGGAATTTTGAGCATGTTTTCGAAATTTTTGGTTCCCGTGGGGTCGGAAATATACCATTTGAGTAAAAAAAATCCCAATATGACGATGTCTCCAATTTTTCGCATTTTCAGGATTTCGGTATTATCCAAGGCCCTAACCCAATTTCCAACCTGAAGGTCTGTAGTTTTAGTTTTAGTTAGTTTTATATTTCGTGGATCTTATTTGATATTTTCGATTCTCATTGGGTAGAAAATATCCTATTTCGTTACGATATCCCCCAATTTTTAGTATTTTCAGGATTTCTGTATGTTTAAGGTCCTAGTCCAATTTTCTAACTTGAAGGCCTGCTGTTTTATATTTTGTTTTTTTTCCTGGCAGTAATTTAGCACCATATAAAACTCCCAATCGGTTTCTAACTGTCCGTTTCATGGTGGAGAGTATTAAAAGCTCGGTCGGACCGAACTTAAGAAATTTTTTATTAAAATTTTAATTTCCAATATTTTTTCAAGGTCGTAATATTTCTAATTTTTTTTTCAAGGTCCTAATTTTTTAAATATTTTTTTCGAGGTCCTAATTTTTTAAAATATTTTTTCAAGGCCCTAATTTAAAAAAAAAAAAATCAAGTTCCAATGTATTTTTTTCCTAATTGTTTAACTTTTATTTCTTCCTTTTTCCAGCTTTCGGTTCGATGTTAGAATTGATCTCCAGCAATATGGGTAGCGTGCTGCTAACTGTTATGGTATCTGTGATATTAATTGGTGTCTGTGTGTACATTCTCTATCGTGAGACAAGTAAGCCGGTCGCGGCAGTAGCAGCATCACATATGTCACCCACAACAACACCGCCAGCAACGGCAATCTTGTCGCGGCATCAGCATTTAAAGGAACACCAACATCAGCACCACCACCATCATCAGCATCAACATCGTCACCAACAGAAACACACACTGCCGCGCACATTGGCAAGTAATCACGATGATTTAATGGCCTAAATGGAGAAGAACGAAAAAATTGAAAGGCCCTATCCTCCACCTCAAAAAAGTAAAAAGAACAAATAGAAAATCCTATCTCCAAAAAAAGTACTCCCGCCTTGTAGAACAGCCCCATTGGAAAATATAAACACCCTACACCCGATATCTCTCTATGTAAAGGTGGAAGTTAAAGAAACTATGCTTTATTGTCTTGCTGGAATACGATGGATTGTCGGTTGGTTGCCTTTGGTGACAGAACAAAAAAACAAAAAATAATCTGGAAGGGGCAATAAGAAGAAGGAGAAGTTAAAAAAATCGTATTTCTTATCAAGTCGACAGAGCATAGTTTTACAAACGTGATGCTACATGTTTTTTTTTTACATATTTACATATAAGCACACACACACATACAGTTATACAAATACTCTTATATTATATACGTACTCTTAGAATAGCGCGATATTAGGTAAAAGAAAAAAATCTCCATTGGGGAGTCATTGAAGTAACTTCGCTGACTCGTCCTCGGGCCACTTTCTTTTTTGTCGTCTAATTTTTTTCTTTCTTTAAGTTTGTCTTTAATTAATTAATTAGTTTTTTAATTAATAAGCCCTTTTAATAAAATATATTTAATGATAAGAATTTAGTTGTAAGTTTATATTTTTTACTTTTTTTTTACATATACACATATATAAATATTTATATATTTAATGTATATTATATACATACACACATACAGAATCTAATTTAAAATAAATAAAAAAAAATAAATTATAAAAAAAATAATTATTCCCTCATTCTCATTTATTTTAAAATTTATAACAACACGAATACGGAGAGATGAAAGATGGGCTTATTTAACATTCGGCACAGTGGGGTAAGTTGTATCACGTAAATGATTATTTATTTAAATTTATCGAGATTATTAGTCGTGGAGTTTTTAAATATATTTTTTGAGGATTATCAAGACGTAGATTTTTTTAAACATATTTATTAGAAGAATATCAAGACATAAGAACACTAAAAATGGGTTGAGGCGTCGGGTTAGTTGCCAACACTCGGAAACCCCCTCCTGCTATGAAAAAGCAAAGAAAAAGACGACCCCCGCAAGCGTACAAAGAACCACGATCTGCGAATCTGCACTTGGAATGTGCGCACGTTGTACAGAACAGACGCAGTGTTCGCTTTGGCGGATGTACTCAAGAAGTACAAAGCCGATATTTTTGCCTTACAGGAAATGCGATGGAAAGGGACTGGCGTAAGTAAATCTGAAGATTACGCCCTGTATTATAGCTGCCATGAAACGATACGTAAATTTGGCTGCGGATTTATGGTTAACAGGAGAATAAAAACAATTGCTATAATCCGTATAAAAGCGAAGTTCTTCTACATCAGTCTCAATTGCGCCCATGCTCCGACCGACGATAAAGATGAACAGACAAAAGACATATTTTACCAGCGCCTAGAAACAGCACATGATCGCTGCCCTGGCCATGACATTAAAATTCTGCTAGGAGATTTTAATGCAAAAATCGAAAGGTAAAATATTTTTGGGCTCAGCCTCCATGAGGAAACTTCCGACAACGGCATGAGGTTGATTGACTTCGCGGCAGCAAAAACATGCTTCAATCATCAAAAACACCAGATGCAAGCATCCAGATATACACAAGGCCACCTGGATTTCTCCCGAGCGAACAACGAGAAATCAAATAGATCATGTTGTGATAGACGGATGTTCCAGTGTTTTAGACGTCAGATCAATCCGAGGAGCGAATATCGATTCGAACCATTACCTTGTGGCAGCCAAGGTACGCACCCGTCTTAATGTAGCAACAAAGGTGCGATCTAATGTAACACGGAAATTTGACGTCGAAAAGCTGAAACACAACAGATAGCAGAAGCCTACTCCGCTCATCATACCCAACTGCTTAACGAAAGCACTCTTTGTCCCGATAATAGTATAGAAGCACAATGGCAAAGAATTGTCCACTCCCTAAAAACTGCAGCAAAAGCAACATTTGGGTACCAAAAACCACCATCAAGAAAACCATGGTACGAGCAGGAGTCGTAATGCTACTAGTGTGAAAAAAGCAGCGTATAGGACAACCCTGCCAGACAGTAGCAACACGTAATGTGATGGAGAATTCTCGGGAGAACAGGAGAGAGGAGACACGTGTTTTCAGAAAAAAGAAGAAAAAACAAGAAAAACGTGAGCGTGAGCAAATAGAGACGTACACTAATCAGAATGAAGTCCGAAAATTCTACCAACGGGTAAAACACTAAACCGAAGGTTTTGGTGCAGGCACATCCTCATGTAGAGATGAAGAAGGAAACCTGATGACAGATACAGACAGCGTGTTGAGGATCTGGAAGGAGCAGTTTGAAAAGCTTCTGGTATCAAATATTGGCGGTGAAGAAGATACCCCAGAACCAATAAGAGATGATGATATAGAGTGTATACCACCTTGCCAAGAAAAACAATCAATCGAACAATAAAGCAGCTGCTGCCGATGGTTTACAAACCGAACTATTCAAGACTGGTGGTCAGATGCTGGTAAGGAGCATGCATCAGCTGATTAGTACAATTTGGCTAGAGGAAAGCATGCCCAATGATTGGAACCTCAGCATCCTGTGTCCCGTGCACAAAAAAGGAGTCAAGGCGAGATGTGCCAATTATAGAGGAATAAGTCTCCTTCCAATCGCATATAAAGTGCTATCCAGCGTGCTGTGTGAACAACTGAAGCCAATAGTCAACGACATATTGGACCATACCAATGCGGACAACTCCATCATTGACCAGATTTTCAACCTTCGCTAAATCCTGTAATAAAAACAGACGAAAAACACATCGACACATTTCACCTATTCGTCGACTATAAAGCCGCATTCGATAGCCCCATCCGTTCAAAAGTGTTTAAAGCCATGTCTACGTTCGGCATATCTGCACAATTAATACGGCTATGCAGGATAACTTTAAGTGGCACAAGGTCAGCAGTTAAATTCGGAAAGGACCTATCGGAGCCCTTCAATACCGAACGAGGATTCAGACAAGGTAACAGATTGTCGTGTGATATTTTTAACATCCTGCTGGAAAAGGTCATACGAGACGCAAACATGAACAGAAATGCCACTCTGTACACCAAACAACACATGTTACTCGCCCTCGCCGATGACATCGATATAATGGGTCGAACATTGAGAGCGGTAACAGCCACATTTGAACAAATTGAAAAGGAGTCTGCCAGAGTGGGTCTGGTAGTAAACTGCGAGAAGACCAAGTTGATGGTATTAACGTGCAAGACGTTCAGTAGACTCGGACCAACTGTGGAACTTGAGAACTACAGCTTCGAGAAGGATTGTGGTGGCCAACAGATGCTACTATGGTCTAAGTAAGCAGTTTAGAAACAAGGTCACCTCCCGTCAGACCAAGCTCACACTTTACAAGTGTGCACATGAGCCAGCTCTTGAGGCGTTTGAAAGAAAAATTCTACGAAAGATCTACGGGCCGATTTGCGTCGACGGTGAATATCGGCGTCGAATGAACCACGAGCTTTACAATTTATACGCGGACATCGACATAGTCAGTCGTTTGAGCTGCAGCGAGTACGATGACTAGGTCATGTTGTGCGAATGAATGAGAATGCCCCAGCTCAAATGTCACATAAAAGCGAGCCTACTGATGGTTCCCGTAGAAGGGGAAGGCCACGAATTAGATGGAAAGACCAAGTCGAAAACAACACTTTGAAGCGTGGTCTTTCGAACTGGTGGAGATGCGCAAGTTGGAAATCTTTTTTAAGCTCGGTTTAAGGAACAACCGTTCTGTAACAAGCCAGCTAAGTAAGTCAGATTTTTTAAAAATATTTTATCAGGGAAATTTTAATAAAAATATTTTTTCGAGAACCTCATCGATATCTGAGCGCCAAGATGAGTATTAGGTTTACTTACCACGTCCTTCCCTTGGTAAAGAGGCTATGTACTGGTTCTCAAGGACCCCAGGTCCTCCATATAACCAAGACAGGAGTAGTGTAAACGGCAGCATCGGCGATTAAAGTGGAAGCTGACCCCGTTCTCCTCAATGCCTGAGAACGAGTTTGTCGGAGGAACATATATATATTAGCTGAGTGTATATATGTCTGTCGGCAACAGCGACTGACAGTTTTTTACTTGCCACAGTCATCATACCCCCTTAATAATTTAAGAAATTTTTAATGTCCATTGGGTATTTGAAAAAAGGGCTAAAATGAGCTAAAATTCCACTATGGGCTAAATTTTCCAAACTAATCCACATAAAATATTCCATCACAAATTTAATAGGGCATACTCAGGGCATAGCTTCTAGAAGTTCCCACAATTTAATAATTTAATTTCTTTGAATTTTCCATAATATTTTACAAGAAACAACTACAACAATAAATTATTGTAATAAAATAAATAAAATCTTAACTAGACAACATAACCTAACTGTTCCTTTACGAATTTTAACGAAGTCTTTTGCCATTGATTTATGACAAATTAAAATATTAATCAGATAATAACAAGAAGACACACTTCCCCACTGTTTCCCAGTCTTCGCACTTCGAAGAAGGTGGGACTTAGAAGAACACATCGAATTAGGGAATAAAATCCCACACCATTGCATCGGCAGCAGCAGAAGTAATACCAATTCAAAACGTGACTCCAGCCACCGCCACAACAACAACCAACAGCAGCAACAACAAGAACAACATCATCAGCTTAAGCTGATGAGTTTTTATGGTCGGCTGGTGGTTGGTTGTGCAAGAAAAAGTGGAACAATTTTTTCACGAAGCCCTTTTTCCAACAGCGTGTTCTTCTTCTTTGCGATTACGGAGAGTGTTAGCAGTTTGTGTGGCAACAGCAAGAACAACAACAAAATGTGTCTATTTCATAGATATAAGTGGGTTATCTGGTCGCTTAAGTTGGTCTTTTGCTTCCAGAAAGTCATGGCCACCAACCAACAAACCAGCCAACTGGAGAAATGGTGGCAAACAAATGTTGCAAAATTG